TGCTTCCAGTCATACCGCCATCACTGTGATGGCGGTATGACTGGAAGCAGCTGTAGGTCAAAGGTCATATCTTTAGCCCCTTCAGACGTCCAGCCGCTGCGTCGCTAACATGTCTGCTTTCCGTCCTCCTCAGCGACGCGTTTGACTTCCAGTACGGCGCGGTGATCCTGCGGCTGAAGGAGGGGCTGGACGTGTCTCACATCCAAGGACAAGGTACCTGCTGAGGAGCAGGAAGCTGACCTCCCATTCCCGCCCCCTGCTGGTGGCGTGCAGCGTCTCTGACGTCTTTGCTCCCCTTTCTGCCAGATGAGCTGTTGTCCTCCCAGGAGAAATCAGGAGCCAAGGACGTCATCGTTTCCATGGACACCAGCAAAGACTCGGACTGTGACTCATCCAAGCTGTCTTCAAAGACCACCAGCCTTCAGAACAGTCCAGCTGCACAGAAAGGTCAGCCCGCTCCCCTCCCTCCTCCCTGCTCCAGCTCCTGCTGCTCCTGGTGGCAGGAGGACCTCCAGGAGGCGCACCGTCCCATGGTGGAGGAAGCTTCCTGGAAGCTCATGGTTCCTCCTGTTCTCAGGAAGCTCTTCATCCACCAGCTTCTCTCTCTGCTGCTAATGCTCCGCCCACACAGGAAGTGACCTCCACCCCCACCCCTGACTGGGCAGGAATGTTGGTCACAGATGTTCTGACAGCTCTGTGTTTGGGGGACGGCAGAGGGATGGCGAGGAGCAGAACATGTTGTGGTTTTTAGGCGTTTCCTGTTTCAGAGCAGATGGTGCAGCGATGGTCTGCAGACCCATTCCAGTCAGTCGGTTTAAACACCGTCACCTTATTTTGAAAAGCCAAGCCCGCTGCTTCCTGTCTGTCCTGCTGGGAAGCGTATGAGGCAACAGCTCAGTAGGGAAGGAAACTGGGGACAGGCCAGTGTTCCCAGTCAGGGGGCCGTCCTTGGACGTTGGTGACCCTGCTGCGTCCCTCAGCGCCGTCTCCCAGGCTCCTCCTGGTCCGGATGGCGTCCAGTTTCAGAGCTGCTGCTGGTCTGGGTGGAAATAAAACGACCGTAAAGTTTTTCATCTGATGCGCCCTGATGACCTCACAGAGGATTCACCTGCTAACGTCTGATGCGCCCTGATGACCTCACAGAGGATTCGCCTGCTAACGTCTGATGCGCCCTGATGACCTCACAGAGGATTCACCAGTGACACGTCTGATGCGCCCTGATGACCTCACAGAGGATTCGCCTGCTAACGTCTGATGCGCCCTGATGACCTCACAGAGGGTTCACTTGCTAATGTCAGAACTTTGATAGATGAGATTCTTCCATTACATCAGACGTTCAGGTGACCACATCATCGTTACCGTAGTTTGCTTTCAGGCGCTTTTCTCTGGTCAATCTGAGGGGAAAAGGTTTACCCGTTTCCTAAATAAACTAGATGTAAGTGCAGAGCAGAGAGGGGGCGGAGCCTCCCAGATGACCTCAGTCTCAGGACATTGCTGCGTCCAGCAGGCTGGATCCAACCGGATGCTCCTGGCTCCTGCCCAGAAATCTGAAATGTTGCAGGAGGCTCAGAGCAGCGGAGTCCTGCTTCCCGCTGCTGGGAGGAGGCTGTTGCTCCTGCGTTCTCCTCCCTCATCATCATCATCATCATCATCAGTGTCTCACATTAAGGATGTTTTCTTTGTTCTTTTGTTTCATATTTCCCAGAAGACGATGAAGATGGCAAAGCTACAACGCAGCCCCTGTTGAAAAAAGGCAGGAGACCCGTTTCCTCTGGTTGCCTTCAGACTTTTCTTCCTCTCAGAGCTTCTGCTGCTTCTGGCTTTCTTCATCCTGTCACTTTGTGTCGCCTCATGTTTCCCGGTAGATTTAGAGAGCTGCCGCTAACACGCCGTCTCTGTCCTCCTGTCCTGCTCCAGGACGCTCCCTCTTCCTGTTTGCTCTGTCGTCTCCTGGCTTCAGTCCGTCTCTGATGTCCTGCTGCATCATCTGATCTCCTTCTCTCTTCAGACCTCTGGTAGTTTCTGTGTTTCGCCTCCTTCCTTCCTTCCTTCCTTCCTTCCTTGGGGGTGACGGCTCTCTAGCTTTCTTCTCCGGGTTCTGGTGTACTTCGGACCCGTCCCGGCGCCGTCTGTCGGCTCCTCTGCGTTTCTCTTCTGCCTGAAGGTTGATTTATTGGTTCAGCGCTGAAGGCAGGAAGAGAACCAGATGAACAGATGTGCTCTGTGTTTGATCACCTGGGAGTTGATTCTATGTGCTCTATTTCTGTCTGCTCGCTGTCTTCCAGGCAAGAAGAGTCCAACGGTTCCACTGAACAGTTCTGACCAGCAGCTGCTGGAGGCCAGCCAGCAGTTCCAGCAGAAACAGGGGAAAGGCACCGTGGACGTCTGGTGGCTGTTTGATGACGGAGGTGAGACCAGATTAGACCAGACCAGGCTAGCCTTAGCGTAGCAGTAGGGTCATATGGTTAGCGTTAGCGGTGGGTTAGCAGTAGAGTTAGCAGTAGCATTAGCAGTATTAGTAGTGGGGTTAGCAGTAGAGTTAGCAGTAGCATTAGCAGTATTAGTAGTGGGGTTAGCAGTAGGGTTAGCATTAGCGGTGGGTTAGGAGT